AATAATAATAATAATAATAATAATAACGGAAATATGGACGCTGCATCTGCTTGTGCTGATCAGAGCTGTGATTGAATTTAAAAATTTATGTCTGACCCCGATCGCAAATCTCCACTGAGGCCAGAGCTGTTTTTTGATGCTGTTCCCGACCCAAACGTACTAAAACAATACTTGCAACAAAACTGTTTAATCACAGAGCCAAATGATACATTTATATCATGCTAATGTTTAACCACATTTTTCTGACTGGTTTGCCGTGTTTTGTATTTTCATATAAATGCAAATCATGTTATTTTGTAAACAATTTTATAATAATTTCATTTATACATTTTGACTATGAATATCCTAATTATAATATATATTATAAAATGTATATTATATATATTTTATCTCATAGCATGGCAGAACAGAGAAACAGTGTGTTATCTTATACATTTTAAATATATTGTAAATGAGCAGGACATTAACATCTGACTTAGAGCTGTAACAATCAAAGTGAAGCTGTGTTGTCATCTTAAAGAGAACAGGAGCCCATGTAGAGGCACCACTGATGCCTGGCTTCACCGTGACACGTCTGCTATCCCCGCAGACAGGAGAGGTCCATCCTTAATAATAAATGTGGTCTTCTCTTCCCCGTCTGAAGCCAGACGAAGGGATCTGCGTCGGGGGGAAGCCTTTCCAAAGCGTCAGGACTACAATCAGGCGTGTGCCAGCTGCAGGCGTCAAGGTAACATGTGTCTGACCCACTTTAGGTGCTTCTGGAATGTGAGAGGGGCTTTTCCAGCCTTCGGAGGTTATTCCCATTCATTCTGCATCACCATACGGTGTCTGGAAGTATTCAGTCACAGAACTCAGCTACTCCTATCATTTTAAACAATTTAGCTTTTTTTTAATGTAAAGTGCTCTGGGGTAATCCCCGTTACAGAATGTTTTAGAAATATAAACTCCATATAGTTCAATTCAGAAATGCAGGGCTAGCATGGCATGACACTAATCATTTGCTAATCTTAAAATATTCTTAAAAATAATAAAATAAAATTTGCACTTGTTCTACCACACAGGTGCAAATCATTCTGCTACCTCTGCATTGATTTTTTAAATCGTTTTATAGCTTTCCATATGTTAAAACCAGTTTTCTATGGACTGATTTTGCAGACCAGAGAATAAGGAAACAGCAAATGTCCATACTTCATATAGTGCATAACAGTAATAAACGACTGGTGGAACAGATGGATCCAGTATTCCTAAATGTTCTCCTATAGGACGGTGGTGGAACTGATGGATCCAGTATTCCTAAATGTTCTCCTATAGGACGGTGGTGGAAGTCCTGATTTAATGTAATCACCATTTTAAAAAGTCGTCTGAGTGAACACCACAGTGAAATAACGAAGAGATGTTGCTTATATAACATAGAAATGAAACTTGGTCAAATTAAAATAGAAAATAAATCCTGCTTATAGGACTGAATCAAGACTGATCACAAAAAAATGTGACAAGCGATGATCAGTGGTGCCATTCTAACAATGAACCGAACATGACATTTAAACGCCTGTTAGCTTGTAATAATTTTCTGATAAAGGTTTTACGAAGTTTTTCTATAGCAATCTTCCAAGACTCCCATCATACCTGCAGCCCCCTCTGGGAGGACATGCGGAGGTGAGCACATACATATTCCATGAAATTGAAATGTGCATGGACAACCAGGAGAACTGAAAGGGCACATCTTCTCTGTGCCTCAGCTTGGGCCTAAAGACTGCACCAGTAAAGTCCACCCTTCCATATCTGTCACCATTCTTTTACACCTAGATGTTCTGAGTCGTTGGAAAACAACAGGTTATAGACTCAGAGGCTTCATAATTTCCTTGGACTAGTCTCGCTCTCACCAGGCAGTACTGGCGGTCATCTGAATTTTCTCTGAATCCCGGGTCGTTGGGCGTCCTCTTATTTGTCCTTCAGAAACAGCTAATTCAAGGGAATGGCTGAATATCAAATGGAACACAGCGAGAAGTCTGATCATGTGGTCTGAGGACTGCCTCGAAACTCATGGAGCTGGAGATGTGATTAAAAACCGGCGGGCTCCTTCACTGAAAGGTTATTAATAAGGCTGGTGGGATTTGCTGAAATGGGCCACACTAGGGGCTGTATCAGAGAAAGACATTGTTCCGTAAGACAAGTTCATCCTTGGCAGTCTTTAAGGTGGCGGGGGGAAGGGGGGGGGGTCTCAGTCATTTTGATTTTGCAGTTGCGACAGATTTAAGCACCCAGATGTGTACACGATTCCAGCCAAAGATCTTTTTCATTTTGCTGAGCTAGAGAGCAAGGTACACACCTTTAATGTGTGTAGCTCTTTGATGAACACTCTCGGCTAGAACAGTCAGCAAGTGCTGTCAGAGACGCGGAGTGCAACCTCGCCTTCCCTAAAATAATGGAAATACCATGTTGGATTATAAACAATCAGAGTGCAGTGGCGGATAAAACGCTTAAGTGTTTCTTCCACTTCTGAAGTCTGAAAACAAGGGTTGCCCAGTCATTGAAGTGGGAATGATATCAATGTGCTGTGTTCATTTTTGACAATAATGTCAATGATGCATTTCTAACAAAGACTGATTGGATTGTATATCATGAGTCCTCCAGTTATGGTACCTAATCAGGTACAATATCTCCTTGGGTGTGACACCGACTTCCATCAAGAGACTTTCTCTTTCTATATCAGCATGAACCCCTAAAACAATAACTACCGTCATACCATGTTCCTTTCAGCTAAAAAAAAAAAAAAAATCACCTTCTGGAGATTCACACAGAATAAATTCTTTCGTACAGCCTATTACTTTTCCCATAAGTCACAACTAACAAAAGCACATAAGAAGCTTTTAGAACAATAGATCTTTCGCTAGCCTAAGATTTTCTGAATCTCAGGAGGATAAAAAAACAATGATGATGTATTAAAACCCCCAGAGGAGCCACAAACTAAGCCAACACTCTTCTATTAGTTTGCCTTGTGGCACGATTAGCCCACAATCATCTGTGAAACCAGGACAAATAATCCATATTTCTATATACTCTACCAAATATTTTCATTGTCTCTTTGAAACAAGGTCATAGGAGATAAGGACCAATGTGTCAGCAGTGTCCCTCGAGCCATAATCACTGCAAATCTAATTCCAGGCAGCCCAGTGGCTCTGTGGAACCAGCTGACACACATAAGCATGTCAACGTTTTCCAGAGGTAAATAATGACTTCATGTCCTCCTGGCATGTCTCTGTTTTACCTAACATGTACATGCCTTGGAAACATACTTGCTCTTACTCTTTTAACGGTTCACCTATTTATTGAGTAGACAAGCATGAGCAGTTCTCCAACGACATTTCTTGCCGTGGGCAAAAAAAACGACTTGCTTTTTATACTGCCTGATTTTTTTCAAAACACATGAACACACTGAGAAAAAAAATGTGAATCACAATAAAATGTTCACAAATTTTTCTCTAATTTTTCATCATCTTACAGAACAAAACAGTAATACTACTCAAACTGACAGAATGCATCACATGGAAAAGTCTTTACTATCCTAATATAATCATAATATCTAATACAGTCATTAAAAACACTGTATTCCATTGTGTTTTGTTTTTGTTGGTCACTATGCATAGCATGGTGATTAACACAAAGATGTTCTACGTCACTGTTTGTACATAGATGTTTTTACTGCAATATGCACTAGAAAACTTTGAAAGGCCAAACTTAACTATAAACAAATGTGTAAGACAACAGTACAGTTCTCACCACTGATATGTACTGAATTTGTTATTGGTGTGCAAATTATTGTCAGTCTGTTGTTTTATTATCACAAAGACAAGTTAATTATTAATATACTTCCTACTGCTGCTCTTTGATACTGTGTGGTTACTGCCTGCAAAACAATCAAGTCAATAGTAGTAGTAGTAGAAATAATAATAATAATAATAATAATAATAATAATAATAATAATATCATATGGTGAATACATGCTAAGGTGTGTTCCTGATTACAGATGTTCAAACAGTAACATACACCCTGCAACAAGTTGGAAACCTGCTGAAGGTGGGTTAACTGTATTCACTAGTCACTGGACATGCTTTTGTAATTGTAATCGTTGAGATTTTCATTAATTGATAAATCCTAGTTTCAATGTGCCATCGAATACCAGTGACATACGCTGAGCAATCATCACAATGTGCACAGACAAACAACCACACAGATCTATATATATATAGATAATGAATGAATGAATGAATAAATAAATAAATAAATAAATGGTTGACGTTTACCTGTAACGCATACTTTTCCAGAAAAGGGCACTAATTAAGTCATCGAAAATAAGTGACTGAAAGATGTTGTGACCATACTCGGTTTCCAAAAGCGGTTTGGGACATGAATACATGAAAGAATGGATGACTGAACTAATCCATTATTTTTATTTTATTTATTTATTTATTTATTTTTAAGTAAACACTCTTCCAAACCAATGCAATTCATTCAAGACAAAAATGTTTCGCTTTCTCTAAAGGTTCACATCTTCGGAATTCAATCGCAGAGACTCGACAGTTACACCTCTGCAAAAACCACAAGGTCAGTTAACTTCAATAACAAACGCAACAGGGCGAACCTCGCGGGTACCAACTAACTAACCCATATTCTGGTAAGCAATATCCTCATTAAACCTAGTAAGATTACTATCTCTAACATTAATTGCATAAGCCTTGCATGATTCAGATTCACAGTTATAAAATCCAGCAGTCATTATTTGACTCAACTCATTTGACCACGTTTCTGGAAATTGGAGACTGTAAATGAATACGCATTATATGGAGAATAGAGACCTTATGACCATTATATCCAAATGCTCTACTTTATTTAATGAATTATTAACCTGTGGTTTGGCGACTTGAACACGAAAAGCGCTCCGTTTGTAGTTAAAAGTGTGTGATATATTGTAATTACTGTGAAGTACGTGATTTCCACACCTTGTCTCCGTAGTCTTCTCTTCCTGAGGCCGAAGATTCTCACTTTGGAGAAGATGTCGACTAGGTTCCCGTTGCAGAGACCCTTGTTCTTACTGGGGCTTTTCCTCCTCCTATGGGTGGAGGGCCGGTTAATATTCTGCTCCCGAGCTTGTCTCTTTTGCCGGATTAAACCGCTGGCGATAGCCGCTGCCATGTCTCAAAAACACTGAACTGTTCAAAGCAGACAGCAGCACACACACACCCCGCCTCGTCTGTGCTCGGACCCGTGCACTAGCGTCCCATAGCCCTGCACGCGAAGCCCCTCGATCTACGAAAAACACAAATTTATATTTCTCGGCGAAGTCCACAGCCTACAGTTTAAAGGAGCTGCCAAGCGGCGTGTTTTCATCGTTTAAACATCCGTGCACACAAATGCAGTCTATGGTATTCAGGATATTACAGCCTTTTTAAATCGATTTTATATAGGCAAAATCATCCCGTGTCAACAAGCGTCGCTCAAACTTCAAAAAAATGCAGATTGCAGACAAGTGTCCATTCGCCGCTTATAACGTTTAAAAAGCACCGACTCCCACAGACACGACAGGTAACCACACAGTCTAGTTCACGTAAAAAATGTACTTCTTTACTTTTTCCGTCATATTTTCTTTCTTTTTTTGGACGATGGACAGAAATGGCCACCGCCTGAGACAGTAGTCAGGCAATAAAACAAAACAGAAAAAACAGAAGATCTTCGTGTGTTTTTTCCTTGAAGGACGACGGGTCGCCTCCCAGGTATGGATTTGCTATTGCGATGTTTCAGTTTCCACATTCGTCTGCTTTAAAGGCAATCGGAGACTTTCCTTAACGCTGACAAAAGGATTTCCATTTACCTTGACGCTGTCCATCATTTTGAGGAGTGGTTAGTACGATCGACGGGGCACTAGCAATTTTAATAACAACTTTCTAATAGACGCTCACATTTACGAACCAAAAACTTCTACAAAATTAACGGGCTGTTTATTCGAAATATATTCCGATTATATTCCACTTTGTCCGGACCGAGAGCGTTATCAGTGATCCTCGTTTCCAGTATAAAAATATGAAATCGTACAATTGGTGGGGGGAAAAAAAACTAAAGCTGACCCAGGTCTTGTGAAGATGACGTCTGCCTATGACAGCACCGCACAAATAAATAAAGTTAAAGAAATCCCTAGCAATATCATTCAATAACAGTGTGCGAATCGCAGTCTCCTACCAGCCATCACAGAAATAATTGCAATATATTCTGCAAAACGGGAAAGGCGGCAGCTACAGCAAACATAGTTGTCAGAGCATGGTCACAATTTTGCATTCAATTCCCGGCTCATTTCGCGCAAATCCAACGTTAAAAAAGCACCAGCGTTTTGTTTCCATCGATAAATTCATGCATGCTGAACATCAACAAGTCATGTCAACTTCCACCTCGTTTTACCATCTACCTCGGAGGAGGAAAAAGCCCACCCTTCGGGAAGTAGCAGCTGCTCCGCGGATATCACTCTGCTGTGTGACTGTTTGCTGGGAGCCTGTAGTAAATCGCACGCTTCTGCAGGACTCTTCGGCTGTACGAGGACTAACGCCCCCGCTGAAACGCGGACATAGACACGGGGACGCAGAATATGTTTAATTCTGCTGTTAAAGATGCAAGCGGCTCATTAAAACAGCAACTACATGCTGTCAGCAAGGTTTCTCATAAAATCCAGCTAATAGACTGTCATTAATCAGTACACTCTGCCACTAACCCTAATATTTTCTCTCTCTCTCTCTCTTTATGAAGTAGCCTACTACTTGCTTTTGTTTACCAAGCCTTATTAATAAATACATAGAATTTTATTAAGTGTAACATGAATGTTTTAGAATAACTGTTATTATGTTCTCAAAGCAGGGTGGGTGAAAGGGAAAACAAACTGAAAATGTTCATACTCTGGTGGATCATTTACTGAATCACATTAAATTCAATACAACGGTCGGCGACCTTTGCTGAAGCCACGCGCAACATTCCGGCCATTTCGACGCTTTTTACCTTTGATGTCTAAATTAGCGGTCAATCCAATTAACGCAGGTAAAATATAAATGATATGGCACTCAAATGTGGATCTAAAGCATCATCTGGCACTGCTTTATAATAACAACCACACTCGAGTGTGTGTGTGTGTGTGTGTGTGTGTGTGTGTGTGTGTAGAAAGCAGTGAAATAAGGAAGGGGTGGGTGATCCGTCCGTTTACAGTTCAATAAGGCGACATGGCGGTGCGATGTTTCGCGTACAGACGAATTGCTGTGTGCTGGAGGCCCAAACAAATCCAAGGCACAAAAGGAAAACTCACGGGAGCCACCTGCCGTTTGAGGCAGCCACGAAGCGCGCCTCCCTCCCCGTCCGCGGCGGAGAAATAGGCGTCGGGTTTAGGGAAATACATTTCAGACACATTCGATTATGCCTGACACACTGTTTGGACTAGGATTCAAGTTTGTGAATTACAAAATATGTTTAATGTAAACAAAACGTTGAGACTGTGACATAAACTTGTACTGACAATATCCTATTTTTGCACTACATTTAACTTTAACGAATTGTCTGTATTTATTATTGATTTACTTTTTATTGTCAATCAAACAACTATAGACTAACAACTAACAACTGCCCATCATACAGAAAATGGAAAGGTATCACACAAAAATGACTTTGATTTGCCTTTTATGAAACTATCCATCCGCCAAAGTATCAGCGAAGTGCCTTTTTCCGGCGCCCCGTGGTTTTCCCCAGTCGCTGGCTTTCGGAAGGAAAAAGGAAAAGGGAAGGAAAAAAGAAGGCTGCGGGCTCCGGCGTTTACAGCTGCCGCCTGTAGCGGGCGCTGTCCCCCAAACAGCGCTCACGATGTGACAGCTAAAGGCGAAGGGCTTTACTTCGGCTGTTGATGTCGCGGGTGTCGCCATTGTCATCCATGACATAGTATCACCCGCAATGAATGCATTTCATTATCGCCACGCTTGCTTAAAAAAATCTGCAATACGTTAAAGCATATGGAAAATTCTATGCAGTTAAATGACTGAATCCCGTTATTTGAAAACTATATTAATCAAATAATATAGTGTAAACGTAAATCGATCGTTTTGAATATACAATAGCCTACATTACATCACAACATTCAAAATTAAAAGGATTTACACGTATCGCAATGAAATGGTCTTAATTAGACCGTCTCTCTCTTTTTTTTTAGCATCAAACTAGGAAACTCATTAAGGGGATTTGTCTGGGTTCATTAATATGTATCCAAGACCCGAGGTTTAAAAAGATACAAACACTATGGTCTAAATATGACTCAAATGATAGCAACGGTTTAGGTATTTCGCAACGTACTATGCAATTTGACAGTTTCAAATTATATTGACAACCAACGACAAAGGTAATATGGGAGTGGATCATGACAGAAGATTATTATCCGTTAAGTTCATTATCGGCGCTGCTTAGCATATATTGGTAATTCAACTCCAACAAACCACTGAAGAAAACCTGTATATGGCGTATAATTGCTCATCCTGGTCTTGAACACCAAGAGGTGGGGGGAGCGGGCGGGTACTAGAGCCAATCTCAAGCAGCATACAGCGCGAGGCTGAAGTGCACCTTGGACAGGATCCCAGTGCAGCGCAGGTCTCGTGCACACACACACACATCACACAATTGCCTAATTGACTGTGGGATTAAGTCCACGTGACGCAGAGACAACGTGCAAACCCCACACACGCGGGGGGAGAGGCGGGATGAAAAACCCCTAACCACAGAGGCGCGAGGCAATAATGCTAATCAGGGAGACACTGCCACCCCTAGGATACACGCATGTCCCATAAAAATGAGCACACTGCCAAAATTTTTAGAAGCGACTTCAAAGTATTTGGTAACATTGATGGTATTACAAGGTACAATGAAGTAGAAAAAGAAAAGAACAGCATGTTATCCGCCCACTTTGAACTTCACTCAGGATTTTACTGATGGCTTAAGTTATTAAACTGGATTCGGCACCTATTCAGATTATGAAAGTACATGTCTTCTTTTATTTATATAAATGTATGTTACCCTGTGTGGGATAACAGTTAAGTTGAATTAGATCTCATTTGTAGTGATGGGAGGGTGAATGCTTTGAAGCCCTCAGTCATGGGATTACTGTGCACTGACACTCACTGGATGCTTTTAACTCACCTGTCAGTGGGTTAAATCAGCTGGTAACTGACTGCACATGGTAATTTCACCTACAGTCTATTTCAAAGCCCTCTTTCCTCTCTCGCCACAGATAAAAGCTACATCAGAACTTGTCCCCAAATAATATCCAAGACAGTTATAAAAGTACTGATTTCTAAGTGTGCATGTAACAAAAATATCCAAGCATAATACATCCGTGGTACGAAAGTGTGTATTTTTACAGTTAAGATAAATTCCGGGGAGTATGAGAAGATGACTGGAAAATAACGACAAACTTTGATTTCTTCCAGACATTAATGAACAGTGTATGTACCCCATGCAGCAAGGGTAAGATATTATTATATATATATATATATATATATATAGTTGGTATGGTTGTGCAAGGGTTAGCATTGTCGACACCTCTGGTACCTGGGTTCCAGGTGTGTGGAGTTTGCATGTTCTCCCCGTGTCGTCGTGGTGTTTCCTCCGGTTTCCCCCGCAGTCCAGAAACATGCTGAGGCTAATTGGAGTTGCTAAATTGCTCATAGGTGTGAATGGTGTGTGAACGTGCCCTGTGCTGGGTCAGCACTTTGGCTCGGAAAAAGGACGGAGAGATACAGACATGCACACCTTTAGAAGCGACACTCTGTTGGGTGCCTATGGTCACTAATATGATTCATTACATGTTCATTTAATTCCTTAATAATAATGCTTTGTATGGCTTGAAGCTCTGTGGTCATAAGGAAATCTAGCACTGTATAAATGGGATAGAGAACGCTGAGGTGGAAAAGCATCAACATTCAGCTGTAATAATGTCATCCTTAAAGAGGAAAGTCTATATATTACATCACAAAGGTTAAGTGGCTCCCAGTACCTAATATGCAACTTCCACACAACTCTCATACGCCACCATATCTGATTGAGAAGCTCTAGGTCCTACTTTATAGTGTTAGACTCCTACTCAGCTAAAATAATCCATATAATGTAATAAGGAAGAATATCTATGCAGGTCAATGAACTGGGATACTTCCCTGCAATATTTTACAGGAGCTGTGGTTTCAAAAATTCACTGCACTGCCAATTTCTAAATACACTCGGTGACAAAAAAAGTTAAGCACCCAGAAGTAATGGTCCCATTTGGATGTAATTGGTACACGTGCAGACCGGCGATGGGTGTGTAAATGATTCAGTTTGCAAGGAGCTGGCACGTCTAGTCACCAGACACAGAGGACGCCTCATAGACGCATTAGACAGCGTTACCGGCACTTGACGGAGTTTGATAGGCGTCGTATTGTGGGTTTGCCTGAGGCCGGGTGGTCATGGGGCAATTGCCCGGCATGTGGGGTGTGTAGATGTCAGTCACCCGACGTTGGAACCAAAGGGCATCTGAGGGCACCTACACATCAGGAAGGTTCCGGTCACCCAGGACAGACCAGACCAAGGGAGGACCATCATATTGTACGCCAAGCATTACAGATCCTCATGACATCCTGCCATCCAGAGACAGGTATTGGACTCTCTACAACACCATGTGTCATCCTGCACCGTGTCTCGACAACTGGCATCAGCCAGACTACAGGTTCACCGTCTCATGCGTAGGCTGCCGTTAACACCAGCGCAGAGACGGTTGAGTTTGGAGTGGACCGTAACCAGGAGGCATGGGACTGATGACGAGTGGCATCATACCAAGTTCAGCGATGAATCTCGGTTCTGCATTACCACAAATGACCATGTGTCGGATGTCAACTCAGACCCAGTGCCAGTCTGTAGGATCTCGAGGGCCAGTTACAACCACAGTGGGCTGACATGACGCAGGAGAAGATAAAACGGCTGTATGACTCCCATGTATCCAGGCCCGGGGGGTGCCACACCCTACTGACATGGGACCAGCAGTGTTCCCATACTGCCAACTCTGTTGTCTGTTTAACCTGATATTATAATCATTGCAGTACAGTCACATGACCTTTCACCACATGCAGATTCATTTCATCTCCAGCACTCTGTCTGGGAGCTTTTTCGTTACTGAGTGCATACTGTTTTAGTATTATATAGGAACTTTTATTCATAACAATGTAACACTTGAAATGAAAATGTTCCTTTAGTTTTTTAAGGACGATCAGGTAGTAATTAAGCTTCATATCACAGCTATTCCATATATATTCACATTTCACTTCTCACACTGTTACAAAACCCTCCATAAAAATGAACCTCTCTGCCACAGCATACTGTCAACCGTGAGCTGAGTAGATCTTGTGCCAGACGCTAACAGGGTACAGTAAAATACACAATGAACAGGCAGATATATATGTTAATA